GTCTTAGACAGTGTGGTTATATGCTTGGGTCTCGTGTGGTAAGACTGGGTTGAGGAATTGTGGTGCTACAGCAAGAGGGAATATCGAGTTGAAGATGAATCAGGAGGAAACTTAGATAGATGGAATAGCTTGATAGTAGACCGGACCGGTATGGTAAGGATATGATTAGTTCCTTGTGCGTGTTCGAGGTAATGAGTTCTCACAGGTATTTTGTAGCAATGCTCTTAGGTTTTGATGGCTTGCTTAGCTTGGTCGAGTTAGAAGGATTCAGTCCTGTCAGGTCTGATTTTTGCAAGGGGGACTCGGAGAGTTCTTGATGGGCTTTATCGCGGTTTGGAGATGTATATTTTCTATGGGCATGCGGAGCATGGGATGTATAGTGATTTTCTTCTAGATGGGACCAATGGAAAGTTCTTAACTAGTTGAGTATGTAGATGTTTGTGGTTCGGAAGGGAGATGAAGTTCTCATGTTATCCTAGGATGGTATGGTATATGCGGTGCGTTGTGGAGGATTGAGATTTACGTGTGTTAGGTTGCAGTTCAGTTCTGAAAGGAAGTTCATAAAACTCTTAGGCAGCAGGTAGCCTCAGATGACTAAGGAAATGGTAGTGCGAATTGAAAGTGATTTGACGAGAGTATATGTTTCAGAAAAAGGGCAGTGTGATTAAGTTGATGGCACTCGGTAGTATTGCGGCACTTTCTGGCTAGATCGACTGCTGATGTTCGAGGTTGCTTGGTGGCACAGAAGAATGTTAGAGTATCCCTCGTGAAATGATTGAGTATTAGAGGTGTGGCATGTATTCGGACGGCGAAATTAGGGATCAGATATGGTGATTCATGTGCTGTATGGATTTGGAGACGTAAGTTCTCATATTCAGGCTATGTTGTGGTTGTGGGTCGCGTGTTATCGACACTGTTTAGCGACTATCGAGATTTGTAGGCCCGAGTGGATCTTTTGTTGCTTGGTATGCTAGATTTTGGACGTGATATTAGGGTTTAGACTGGTTGTCTCCGTGTTGTGCCATTCTGGACTATTGCGCTAAGGCGGCGCTGTTGGCCATGCCGGAAATGCCACGGATTGAGTGGCGAGGTTCGACGGATAGTGTCCTGGTGGAGTGACTTTGTATCTCGAAGACCCAGCGGATGGCTAGGAAGGATTGTCTTTCTTAGTCGGGATTTCCTCGATGGGGAGTTCGTTGGCAGGCCGGTGCGGATGCATGTTCTAGCTTGAGTCGGCTTGGTTGGCCCCAAATTGTATTATTGAGGGATGTTTTGATTCGACCGTTATTGAGCTTATTAGTGAACTGGAGAGATCTATGAGATACCTTTCTGTGTTGCGAGACGTTATGATTTGTTGGTTGTGGGCACACATGGTGCGGTTCTATTGGGGTTCATAGTGGAAGTCGAGCGGGGAGAGTAATTGGGTGTTGCTCGGTGAATGGCGTATCGGTTATGTCCTATCGGGTTTGCGTGGTATATGTTATTTGTTTCACCGTGGGTGTAATGATTTGCTTTGGTTCTAGACACCAAATTGTGCGTGGTTGTCGATTTCGCGCATAGTGGCTTGAGGTGTTTCATGTGGAGCCGTGTGCGCATTACAGCGAAGATTATGTGGAGGTATTATCCTTCGGGTTAGATTCGTGTGTTCTATTTCTATGATGTAGGGCGGGTCCTCAGCCTTGTGTTGTGGTGGTCCTGGTGAGCTTGAGGTACAGCTCTTTCATTTAAGTTATTTTCATGATTTGAGTATGTTCGGACTGTTGCCTATTGGTGCGTGTATTGTACAAGTTGTGTCTTAGGCCTGTATTGATGTGACATGTCACCAGAGTAGTGTGTCGGATTAGAGGAGATCATTGGATCACTAATGAATGCGAACGGATTCGATTGCAGCATGTTGGAAGGATAATATCGAGGTTCGGCTCGAAAATTTGCTATGGTAATTGACAAGGAGAAGTGCTTCATGAATGGTTGATTTGAGAAATGGTTATGGCTTACTGCGTGTTTTAGTCATCATTGGCAGTATACAAAAGTGTTGGAATGAAACTTTAGTTGATAAGAGGTTTTCTACCGGTATTCGAGTGTTGTGTGCCGCTGCTGTGAATGGAAGTTATCACTACATGTGTTTGAATTATGTGGTATATCCGAAAATTGCACCTGAGGTTGCAGGCATGGGTTATTACAGCTGGTTCGGGCCTATTCAGAGTATAGGTGTGAGGTTCTGATCGTATTGATGATTTCAGAAGTGAAAATGTGGTTCTATGGTTTAGGGGCAAGATTGGATTGTGTAAATTCAGTTACAATATGTTATCGTACCTATATGAGATAGGGTGATGTGGGATCACCCCCGGGTATATGCATGGTAAGGTTATTCAGCGATTGGTTGGCTTTTAGAACAAATATGGGCACGTTCGAGGGCGAACGTATGTTTAAGTGGGGGAGGATGTAACGACCGGACCGGTAATTTTGAGATTTTGCACTTTGATCGCCAGATTTCGGGCATGATTAGCCCCGTGTGATGTATTATGACTTGTGTAAATCGTTGGTTTAGGTTTTCAGGGAAATCGGAACGAATTTGGAAGAACAATTCTCAGTTTGAAGCTTTAAATTTGAAAGGTTTGACCAAGATTTGACTTGATTGTATATGATCTCGGATTGGAATTTTTATGATTTGATTAGCTCCGTTAGGTGATTTGGGACTTAGGAGCGTGATTGGTATGCGTTTTGGAAGTCCGTGGAAGGTTAAGGCTTGAATTGGCAAAATTGAGATTTTGGCATTTTTCGGTTGATAGGTGAGATTTTGATATAGAGGTCGGAATAAAATTCCGAGAGTTGCAGTAGCTTCGTTGTGTCATTTGGGATGTGTGTGCAAAATTTCAGGTCATTCAGTCGTGGTTTGGTTGGGGTTTTTATCAAAAGCGTAATCTAGGAGATTTTGGATTCTTAGGCTTGAATCCGATACGAATTTGGTGTTTTAATGTCGGTTTGAGCGTTCCGAAGGTTGGAACAAGTTTGAATGATGTTATGGGATAGGTTGGCATGTTTGGTTGAGGTCCCGAGGGCCTCGGGTGAGTTTCGGGTAGTCAATCGGACCATTTCATGTTGGAAAAATTGCAGAAAATTGCAGGTTTTGGCTCCAGCTCTATTGCAGGTGTTTCCTCTTCGCGATCACGTGAGGAGGCTCGCGATCGCGTAGAGTTATTTCAGGGGGCATCCAGGTTTCTCTTCGCGTTCGCATAAATAGGGTCGCGGTCGCGTAGGTTTATGTTGCTGTGAAGCGCGGTCGCGTGGTATCAGTCGCGATCGCGTAGTTGGAAGATTCTGAGCATCGCGTTCGCGTGAGGGTATACGCGATCGCGTAGTGTAAAATGTGGGCTATGCTTCGCGATCGCAAGGCGTTTTCCGCGATCGCGAGTAAGCAAAAGTGAGAGCTGGGCAGAATGTTTTAAAGGCTCATTGTCACACCTCCTTTTTACCTACACCCCGCAAGGGTATAATAAAAGGGGTTTTTCCAATTGAAGGACAATCGAAACGGGATTCGTTTATTTAAAAGATTCAGAGTCGCCACTTGGGAGATTTATGGTGTCCCAAGTCACCGGTTTGAATCCCGAATCGAGGAAAGGGTTTGACTCTGTATTACAGTCGCGAACCAGAAATCCGAGTAAGGAATTCTATTAACCCGGGAGAAGGGATTAGGCACTCCCGAATTCCGTGGTTCTAGCACGGTCGCTCAACTACTATATTTGGCTAAAATCTTATTTTTCATATATGTTATCCTTATGGTGCAATTTTAACATTATTACCGCTTTTAGTTGGATCTTTTTAAGAAAATGAACGTCGTTTAAAAACGTATTTTTGGATCACGTCACATGAAATGCACCCGGATCCTCAACACATTCTCACTCAACGTTTTGGGATTTGGATTTGGGTCGCATGAAATGCGCACCCATATTAAGGAAGGTAAAATTATTAAAAACGCGCCTAAAGCGACTAACGTGTTTTTATCTTTGCGGGAGGCCGTGAAAATTGGCTAAACGGCACGTCCCGAATTCTAAGTATTTTAATATAAGCATTTAATGAGGGCCCCCGCAATTTGGCGAGGCTCATCTCATTTTTTATTTAAAGGCCAACCTAAAGCAAACTAAGGTTTTCTATTTCTTTGTCTCTAAAACGGGCCTAATTAATTTGCATTTATAAAGTCGGGCCTCGAGTTCAAGTTCGAAATCAAACAAAAGGGAGGGCCCTCTTAATTTGAACCCGCTACCTAACTCGAAAACCCGCTACCTAACTCAAATTTATATTGCAAATTAATCCCCATGATCTTAAAATATTTTCAGCCTCCAATGATTTTGTTGGGCCTCAATGGTTGGCCCATGACTGTGGACACGCAATCAGATTCATTAAGTTAATGGATTAATACTATGAATTCTGAGAATTTATCTGGAGGCCCAAGATGGTTAACTAACATGGTTACTAACTCAATATTGAAATTTCGATTTCAGAACCAGCTTTTAACTGCCTACGCTGGTTTGGATACCAGTTCTACCGTCATTCACACAAGGAAATGAGATTAAAGCAGGAAGATTATCATATGCAGTACTTATAAAATGACAAAGGCGAGTAATCTGATGATTAGCAGAATCAAATGATAAAAAGTGAAACTATTTATACCACTAAACCAGTTGAGATCATTTTTTGAAAGCCAAGGTGAGATCATATGATGTATCGATTAAACTATTGAATAGTTTAAACCACAATACTGATTTTGGATCTATTTTCCAAACCTGGACGTGGATTTATATACTAAAAAATGGTTTCAGGCCTAATTTCAGCACTTCGTTTAAACCTATGCGAATTATTTCTAAATCCAGTGGCCATGGATTCAACTCTGCCTTAGTATTAGAGTTCCATCTAAAATCTAATTGCACTAACAGCTATACTAACACAGCTAAATGTTGAATGCTATTTTATATGCTACAATAACTAGACCGCTTCAACTACAATAACTAAATGTTAAATGCTAACATGATCTACAGTTCGTAGCCGATGTAGTCCAGCCCAATTATACAGTCCAGTTATACCAAACATCAAGAGTTCCAATTTGTCAAGTTCTAAATATTGCTACTACACGACCTAACATGAAGACTAATGTATACACAAGCAAAACAGAATAAGAATATATGAACAAATAGAGACGTAGGCATCTCGAGCCCTTAAGTCAGCCTATTATTTTCAATCAAAACTTTAGCTACAAGTTCCTTAGCTCTTAGGCCATGGTAGATCAAATGAGTACCTGGAAGTTACAATAATGAAGAAGGAGCAGTCAGTAGCAGCAAACAACAAGTTCAGCAGCAATAAAGTAGCAGTTCAACAAGCCAAGAAAACCACAGCAAAGTCTGGAATCCCAGCAATGAAACAGCCAATAGACAGCCCAAAATTGACTTGAACAAGCCAAATTCAAACTTGAAACCAAACCAGGAAGTGTTTGAAACCCAAATCAACCAATAAACTAACTGAAAATAATTTGAACAGACTCAAACAAACTAGAAATTGGTTCCAGGATACTCAGGAAACTTCAGGTGCAAAACAGCCAATACCAGTTGAAATCAGAACCCAAAATCTCAATAAAACAGTGGTGTTTTCTCAGGTCTTAAGATGTTCAAGTGTTAAGGTGTTCAGGTGTTCTTTAGCTCTCGAAGTGTTCCTAAGGTGTTCTCTAGCTCTCCAAGTGTTCTCTTTCAGGTGTATCTCAGGTTCTTTTCTAGTGTCTATCTCCGTCTCTCTTTTTTCTCTTTCTCTCTATTTCGTATCCCCCCTTTTTCTCTCTAAGTGTCATTCTATATAAAACTCTTTTTTTCCAATTTCCAGCTCCTAAGAGCACTTCACAAACCTGCCATTCCCACTTCTAATTAAAAATCCCTTACCCCATCATATTCCCTGATTTCCCGCCCAGACTGTCAGCCCCATTAACTCCCTTTTCCTTTTATTAAATTCAAACATGGTATGGGCAGCCTGTTTTTAATCCACGCGTGCCCTGACAACAGTGCTGTCATGCCACCTAGTTATAATTCCCTTAATTCTATTAATTAGCCCTTAAGCTTCTCATTTAATCAATAAGCCCCTGCTACTTAATTCCAGAACTAGCCTGGGTTAGTTTTGACCCAAAGCTAACCAAGTTTAGGTTTACAGCTAATCGACCCAATCTATTGACTCTTTTTAATCCTATTAAACCAACAAACACATTCCAAAACAAACCAACAGTTCAACATGGTAACTAAGAAATACAGGGAATTCGGGTAATCTCAAACAAAGGTCCAAATAACTACAAAATTCGGACTAATAGATAAACCTATTCATTAATTTAACAGTTTATAATACATGCTTAAAAAAAACTGATAAAACTGGACCAAATAAAAAGTCCGAAAGAGAAGGAAGAAATAATTGACAAGGGCAAACAAAAATGGCAGACAAAATTTAATAATGAAAGGATGGGGAAGGGATACCTCAGAAATTCAACTGGACTCGAATCAAAACTTTGGTAGGTCTTTAATTTCCGGTCGGACTAGACCTTAAGCTTGTATTTTCAAGTGAAAACCCAAGAATAAGGTCCAATCTGGCCGAAAAAATCCTTATAGACCTTTTGTATTTTAGGGTTCGTGAACTTAGGGTTCAGATTTGATATTCGAGCAATTTGAGGGGGGTTCGGGGAGAGCTGGTAAGGGACTTGGGGTGAGGGTAGTGTGGTGATCATCTGGTGTTGATTTGAGGCTAAGGGGAGGTGGCGCCGCCACCAGGGGATTTTGTGGCGGCGCTAGGGTTTCTGGACTTAAACTAATATTTGAAGGGTTCTGAGTCGATTCGAAGGAAGATAAGGGTGGATCGGGGATGGGGAGGTCGAGGTGAATCGACGGTGTAATTTTGGGGCTGTTTGGACGCCGACCACCGCCATAGGCGATTCCCGACGCGGTGGTGGGCGGTGGCGTTAGGTTTCGTCTCTGAAGGTTAGAGACGAAGGCAAAAGGGAGGGTTTGGTTTGGGGGGGGCGGGTCTGTTTGGAAATATATATATATATGAAGGGGTGGAATGAATCCAGGCCGTTAGATCAATTAAGATCAATGGCCAGGATCATTTGACTTAACGAAACGGCGTCGTTTAGACGTCTCTGAGACCGGATCGGTCCTTGATGGGAATGGGTTGGGCGCGGACCGTGTTATGAGAACGTCTTTGGATCGTTGGATCAAGACGAAATGAATGGTTCAGATCACATCACGCCCAAACGACGTCGTTTGGTTTCGCTGGTGGCAGGCTGGGTTGGGACAGGTATTGGGCCGAGTAAGGGGTCGGTTTTGACCGGGTTTGGGGTAAATTTGGTTTGGGCTTTGGATTGTTGGCCCAAATCCGGATCCCTTTGTTTTCCTTTCATTTTCTAAAATTCTAATTAAAATAAAAATACAAACCTAAATTAAACTAATTAACTCTAAATAGTAATTTTCACAAAATAACTACATGTTAAATTTAAAACAAAATTACACAGTTCGACATTTTAACACTAAAATGCGAAGTATGTTATTTTTTGTGATTTTTTCATTTTTTGTAAAAACAAACACTTTCTTAATTAACCCTAATTGTAAAAATTAAATCCTAAATGCAAAAATGCAATTTATTTTTGTATTTTCTTATTAATTTTACTCAAATAAACGTGCACACGCAAATGCAAACAATAACAAAAATATCACGAAAATTCACAAAATTGCACACAATAAAACAAACATTTTTGTTTTGATTTTGTGGGAGTAATTCATGTGAGGCAAAAATCACGTGCTCACACTCATTTCCGCAAATTTGAGGCTAAGTTCCTCCATTGTTGGTCGATTTTGAAGCTTTTTGAAGAGGATTGAAGAGGGATTCAAGGGAATCACCTGGAGATTCGACGCGCGTGGAGGCCGATTTGATAAGCAAAGGCGTCGCGAGCTAGAGATTTTGCCGGTTCGAGGTGAGTAATGATTGTAAATGATGTTCTGAGGGTTTGAAACCCCGGATTGCACATCGTAGTGCTATATTGAGGTGAGGCACACGCTTGACGACGAGCGTGGGGTCGTGTACTATTGGGGATTGTAGCTTGGTCCGTCCCGATTGATGATTTACCGCGTATTTGACTGAAACTTATTTGTTGTCATCATGATTTGGGCTGATTGCCATATTTGGGCTTCGTGCCAACTATTTGAACCCTTCGGGGATTTTTATTACTATTTCCTCACTGCTTTGACTTATTAATGGAACCCACGCATGTTATTTTCCACTGTTTTACCACTCAGCCGTTTTTACTCCTTTTTGAGACTTAAACGATATTTCAAATGATGTTTTGGGCTAAGAAATACTGTTTTACTAATGCCCAAGGGGCTTGTGAGTATTTTTGACTGAGTAAGGCCGAGGGCCTAGTTGTGAGGAAACACTGATACTGATTGAGGCCGAGGGATTGAGATATGTACGCCACGATGTAGATTGCTGATATTGCTTATGAGGCCGAGGGCCTGAGATACATATATACGCCACGAGGTGGCTTGACTAATATGAGGCCGAGGGCCTAGATTTGATACCATGAGATGGCTTGATATTGCGCGTGGGTCGTAAGGGGCCCCTCCCGGAGTCTCTACAACCCCAGTGAGCGGGGGTACCCATTGTGAGGTGAGATATAGTCCGAGGGACTAACATTATTCTATTTGATAGCCCGAGGGGCTGGTATTGTTCTGTGTGATTGCCCGAGGGGCTGGTACCGATCTTTGTGATTGCCCGAAGGGCTGATATTGTTCTGAGATATTGCCCGAGGGGCGAGGTTGTTGACATTGTTCCCGAGGGGTGAATCTTTATGTGTTTATCTTTCATATTTACTGTCATTTATCTGTTAAACTATGGTTTTGAGCCCGAGAGGCGGATTTGTATGCTTATATGCACTAACTGTTTTGGAATTCATTTGCGTAACTGTTGAAAAGTCATTTTTAAAGAAATCTAAACTGAGCTAAGATATTTTAAAGAGATTCTACAATTTCTCTGCTTTCTCACTGGTTTTGAACTGCTTCTATACAACATGTTGATATGGTATTTCCACACCCGGTAGCGGGTTTTGGCTGATCGGAGGCAGAGTCATCAGAGATTTGCCAGGTAGCTGCCGGCGTTCGCAGCACTGCCCTTCTCTCTCCTTCTCTCATTAGTTTGTATTTAGGCTATTTCAGCTAGCACTTAGTTGTATTACAGATCTTGATAGATGCTCGTGAATTGTGACACCCCGATGTCGGGCTATATTTCTTTCCGCACTGTTTCTTTTAAACTTACGTTATACAATATTTGATTTATTGAAAAGACATTAAATTGACTCATTTAAATTATTGAATTGAATTGGGAGTTGTGTCGGCTGGCCTTGTCTTCACGAGAGGCGTCATCACGACCGGGTCCGATTTGGGGTCGTGACATTGCTCATGACATGTAGAACCTATGAACCTAGAGCTCTGATACCAATCTGTCATGATCCAAAATCTACTAGTCGTGATGGCACCTAACCCAACCGGCTAGGTAAGCTAACTAATAACTATCCAACTTCAATCATATTAGTAAGACAATTAGACAAAAGGAATTATCTGAATCTATTACATTTTTCGAGGACTGGTAGTACAAATCATGAGCTTCTAAGAATGGAATCTACAAAGCCGATATGAAGTCAATGCATCTTCTGTTTGCAAAGTACATAAAAAGAGTTTTAAAATCTAAAGTTACCATGAACAAGAGGCAACTGAGTCTGGATCGCAGGTACACCTTCAATGCTAGCTCCCGCCATGCACAAAGTGCAGGAAGTGTAGTATGAGTAAAACCGACACTATGTACTCGATAAGTAACAAACATAATCTTAGGTTGACAGTAGTGACGAGCTGGAACAAGTTTGGATCCGACACCAATAACCAACAACAATTCATAACAACGTAAAGCATATAAATAAGGAAGTAACTCAGAGATAAAATGCTCATCTTTTTCACAATTTTTCGAAAATAGTTCTGCTTTTCATGAATATCAGTGAAAACCCAAATCCTTTACCGAAATCCTTGAGAATATGAGATAGTTTGAAAATTGTAATTTTTTTAAAAATCCTTTCCCCAATAACTAAAATGTTTTATTTTCTTGCCAAATAGCAAGTGTGAAATACCTTTCTATGCCCACATATCAATGTGTCTAAAGTCAATAATGAATGACGTAATACAGTACAACATGAGGAAAAATGCATCTCTGTGCAAATATGTCATGTGTGCATGCCAATGATATGTATCTTAGAGATGAATCTTGCACTCACACTTTCAGAGTACTCAATCTCATTGGCTCAAACTTTCTACTCATCATGCTCAACCACTCAGTACTGTATATGACCAATTCAGCCCAGAGAAGATCCATCCCGGAATATATACTTCAACTGACCATCAGTCACTCAGTACCGAGGAAGGACATGTCGGCCCCATGGAGAAGATCCATCCCCGGGTATATAATGAATACTCAACCACTCGGTACTGTATATGTCCCATACGTCCTAGAGAAGATCTATCCTGGAATATATACATCACTGACCATCAGTCGCCAGTACCGAGGAAGGCCAATCCAGCCCCATGGAGAAGATTCATCTCCAAGTATATAATGCTTCGGACAAGATCCATGTCTAGGGAAGATCCATCCCTCAATATAATCAACCGCGATCACTAGGGGTGTACAGACTTCGGAGGGGCTCCTACTGCCCAAGCGCTATAATCTGCACGGACAACTCATGTGCTATAGTATCAATATCAGAATTCGCATGGACAACTCACGTGCTATAGTATCAATAACCTCACAATTAGGCCCTCGGCCTCACTCAGTCATCAATCTCTCTAGTCTTTTTCTCTCGGGCTCACAATGTCATGAAGATAGCTCGAAAATGATGATATGATGTATCAATAAATAACAACAGAGACTGAGATATGATATGTATATGAATGCGTATGAATGAGTATATAAAACAATGAAAGCAAATATTTCAACAGCAGAAATGACCTCGTTGGGCCCCAACATGATAAACATGAAGCCTAGACATGGTGTCTAACATGGATCACAACTCAATAGCTCAAGCATGTGGAAATTCCATGATTACAGGTAAGGTCAGGTAACTACACAAGTACCACAGAAATAACGGAATCACAATTCGCACGGTGCACGCCCACACGCCCGTCACCTAGCATGTGTGTCACCTTAACACTAATCACTTAGCACGTAATTTGGGGTTTCATACCCTCAACACTAAGTTTAGAAGAGTTACTTATCTGGAACAAGCCAATTTCAATACCGAGCAAGCCAAGCGATGCTCCAAAAAGGCCAGCACGCGCGTGGCAACCTCTGAACGACTCAAAACTAGCCAAAATCAACTCAAATACATCAAATAAATCCCCAGGAAACAATTCCAAATGATAAAGATCGAATCCCAAATCAAATCCCGAATCCGGCCAAAAATCGCACCCGGGCCTACGCCTCGGAAACCGACAAAACTCACAAAATCCCATAACCCATTCAATTACGAGTACAACCATACTAGTTTCTCTCAATTCTGACTCTAATTCGATGTTCAAAACTCAACAATTTATATTATGAAACTTTAGGCCAAAACCTCAATTTCCTCTTTAAAATTCATCAACCAAAAGCTAAAATTTAAGATAGATTCATGAAATAAGATCAAAACCAAGTAGAGAACACTTACCCCCATTCACATGATGAAATTTTCTTCAAGAATCGCCTCAATCCGAGCTCCATAGCTCCCAAAATGCAAAAATAGCTGAAACCCTCAAAATAGAGTACTTTATAATCAATGGGCGAATCACGATCGCGAAGAAGAAAATGCACTGCTCCTAAAATACATTATGCGGTCGCGTAATAAGCTGTGCGATCGTGAAGCACAAACTGCTCAGTCTTGAAAAGAACCTACGCGAATGCGGCCCCAGGATCGCGAACGCGATGAAGAAGCCATGAAGACCTG